CAGTACAGAAATGGGCCTGACATTGGGAATTGCACTCTTTAAACCTAAATGTCAGTCTAATCCCCAGTAAAATTTCAAGTAAGGTAGAGTTCAATCCACCTAAAATTCGCTTAGATGAGAACACAGGCAATGATGGCCAGTTTGCCCATTTTCAAGAGTGATGAGCACTACAATAAAATTGCAAGGCATTTCTCTTCAGACTGAAAGTTGCCTGAATGCTTAACTACAGTGTCCTCCCAGCAGTATCAGTAGGTGTATTTTTTGGGCAGGTAAATGTCACTCACACCCAGCCTCTTTTGCTGTCCAAACTCGAGCACAGTGGCAGGGACATGCCATTCATCTTCCCTGGAGAATTTTTTAAAGTTTGGCTACACTTGAGCTCAGCTTGAATAGTATTTAATACAAATCTAAATCAGGGAATGAAGCAGAGCTCAAAACTAGCATCTAGGACTTTTGGGGAGGAGACATTTCATTCAGACTTAAGCTGATTTTAAAGTCACTTTCAGTGCACACATGCTCAAAAAACTAAGTTTGAATCAGCAGTCTTCCTTACTCCAGAGCGCTTCAAGTTAAGAGTCAGGTTCTCTTCTGCGCATTATTTATCTTTCTTTTTTGCTTTTAGGCCTAAAGATGAACCACTGGGCCAACAAGAGGATGACGGACTGTGTGATCTCTCATTTCTGGTACACAGAACACTCTTCCAGCATGTGGGAGTTAAAACTGCTCAGTCCAACTTCACTAAGGTCTCTTCCATCTCCTGCTTCACTTTCCAAGCCCCACAGTAATAAGCAGAAGACAGACAGAAGATCCCAGACACAGTGCCTGTCAGCAGAGCAGCACTAGACACACTGGATCCCCAAACATCCTACTTGTTTGGCATGTCTCAGTGAAACAGGGAGATATTTTGCAGTCTGGGCTGTCTTCTGGAGTCTTCAAAGGTCCCTTCTAATCAGTGGAGGAAAGAAGATGTCTAACCTCCCTGTGTTGGTATGTCTTCACCTGTCTCTCAAGAAGCTCAGTGATGTGAAATGAAGTGGATGACATCCTTGGGGAATATGTGCAGCATCCAGCAGTTTGGTACCTAAATGAGGCAGTCTGACTTTCACTCTAAATTCTGAAATAACCACATTTCAGCTTTACACCTAGAAATGTGCCTTAAAGGGAAAAGATATTAAACACATGGGTAACAAGACACATACACAAAGCTCTTGAAAACAGAAGCTGAACGGATGAAATCTATTGAAGAATTTAATTTCAGTAATCAGCTTTTATTAAACAATGGGAGCTACACATAGATTATGCCCTGCAGGCCAAAGTGTTGGGTTAGAATTGTAAGATTTTTTTCTCATTTGGTTCTTTATCCCACAGATTCGCATGCTAGCAAAAAAAAAATTGTCTACCAGAACTGTCTACCTGCCTGGATGGGCTCACCAAAGATCCATGGCTTCTTGTGGTAGTACTTTACTGTAGGAGCTAATCTGAGTTTTGATCTGAAAAACATAATTTTGTTGATCCTTCCTACCACTATATTTATTTTGAGTGTTTACATAAGATTTTTTAATAGTCATTCTCTAAGTGGACACAAATAGGAACTTTCATACTGAAGATTTTTTTTAGTACTGGTCTGAAAACTGAAAGTAATTTTTTTCCCTCTAGACCTTTTAAATACTGAATTTTAAGAAAAAAGAATTCCAGAGTTTAAAATAATTATTTAAGGAAGTTCCACCTGGCCATTTCTCAGTAGTATCTTTGTTTTGATTGACATTAAATCAGCTTCCTGTCACTGACAGAGCAACAGTCTATAACACTATCACTTTCTTAATATGCAGCACAGTCTCCTTAGTACTGAAGATAAAAAGCAAAACCTAAAAAAAGGAAAATCAAAGTTCAGAAATATGAGTCTGGGATACCATATGGACTGCATTAGAGAGTCAAATAAGGAGTCTGTCTTTAGGATGAATAACATTGAGGACTAGTTTTCTCTGGCTGCTAACACTATTTGGCAGCAGTATGGACATTGACTGGTGCAGGCAAAATCCCTGCTGGTGGGAAGCTGGGAGGAGCAGCCTGGCCAGCTCCAGCCAAGCTGCCATCCTTCTTCCATGCCTGAAAAAGAGCAGGAATGTCTGTCACGGGCTGAGGCTGAGTGACGAGACTCTGAGGTGTATGGAGATGTTTCAGAGCTTCTGTAAAATGATTTACAGATGTGCTAGCAACTGTCTATTTTCTTATTACTTGCTCTAATGAATACAAAATATTAAATCCAGTAGAAGAAGGCTGTTGGAACAGGTGACTTTAGCATTTTTAACCACCCACCTTCATGGGCCAGCATCAGGCTTGATTTCTTTCCCATGCTATATCTCCCCTCAATGCCCCGCTTGGCAAGGAGAAGCAGAAGAGCAGGAATGCCAGGACTTGGGCACTGCCTCTCCATGGGCAAAGGGCTGGTGCACAACAGGCTTGAGCACCTTGCCTGATAAAAGCAGTCAAGGGAAAAGGATAAAGAGCAGGAAAGTAATTACCAGTTCCTGCTGCTGGGATGAAGAAGGAGTGAGAAGCACCATGCTGAAGGAAGCATGTTCCCAGCAGTGCATGCTAACCCCAGACCTTGAGTCAGTTCTCAGCAGCAGCCACCAGCACAAGACTGGAGGTTTTTTCAGACCACCTAGGACATGCTACTGCCTGATTTTCTAAAACTAGCGCTAAATACAGGATAGCCCAAAAGTAAATGCCAAGAAATAAAGTCCAAGATAATTCTGGAAAAATTCTGAGGGAGGGCAAGAGAAGTGGTCAGCTGAGATCTGCCTCTGTAAGGACCACCTAAGGATCCATCTATCCTGGGAAAAACTGCTTTGACCAAAAAAAAAAAAAAATCAGGTGGTTTTTTTTGTGGGTTTGTTTTTTGTTTTTTTGACTTGGGCACTGTTGTGTTTATACCACCAATAATCAGGAAAGAAAGATGAAAAGACATTAAAAAAGTTATTTGGTAACAGTATTCAAAAAGTAGTATTTCCTCAGTTCCCTGAGGGAAAACTTAAACAGTGAAAAGGTGTCTGTGAAATTGCCATTATTCAGGCACTTGCCCAAAACCCAGTCAAAAAGTATCAAAACACAGATAATCTATCCCAGCAGTACTAGGAACACCAGACCAAATAAATGAGAATATTATACATGAAAAAATCAGTCTAACTGAATAATTCTTTGACTCCAGAGGTCAGGAATGGTGCCACGTTTTCCTTACATGATCCTCATGAAACACCTCATGAGCCTTGTGTTTAAAAATAATATCAGCCAAGCACTTTCCATATGTCACATGTGCACTGCAGCCTAGGCCAAGAACAGATATCAGAAGTGAATTCCTCTTGCCTTGTACCCTGCAGCAAGTGTATTCTTTATGAAAATAAATAAGATTGGTTATAATTCTACAAACAATCAGCTAATGTGATTATGTATCTGCTTAACAATTAGAAAAATTTCTCTTTTGAAAGGAATCTTCTCCTGAACTCTTGACCTCAGTGATACGTATTAGACTAGTTTTCGTTTGAAATGTTGGGAAATGGGCCACTGCCTTCAGGATTTGCATGTTTTCTTTTAAATTTTCAAGTCTGAAGATATTTTCTACCATATGAAGATCAGGATTCATGTACATAGATATAGAAATCTTTTTTTTCAAATTTTCCACAGCCTCAGAGCACAGACTATGAGGAGTTTAAAGAATACCTTTGGGTTCCCCCCCCCCCTCCAAAGTATTATTTTTGTTAATGTCTATTATTCTGTCACACTTATTCCAGCTGAATTTCATCTACCATTGTACTCCTTAATCCCTCAATGTATTTAAATCCATCTGGAATTTTTCTAAATCCTCCATAGTTCTTCCTAACAGAGACAATTTGCCGATGGGGTACCACTAATCTCTGTACATGCTGAGGAGCAGCAGTTCATGACAAATCTTTCTCTTCTATCTCATAACCAGCTCTTAATCCGCAGTGACACCCTGCCCCTTGCTCTGTGACTCACTCTCCTTAAAGTCAGTATGAAGAGCATCCCATTTATCTCCTGTTGATTTGAAGGGTAGGTACAACTTGTGGTTTTGCTGTGACAGCAGCTTTTCTCCCAGGAGAGTCTGATGTATCTCAGCAGAAGGTGCTGCAGACCTGAGGGTCTTCCATGTGTGGTGCTGCCACAAAGGAGAACAGAGGGTCCCTAGCACTGCCTCTGGGAGGCCCAGACTCAGTGGCCCTCAGATATAAATAGCCAGGACTTAAATTGTGTAGCTTAAAAATAGTAGAGCATCATCAATGCAGCCTCAGAGTCTGTGATCACAGCACTTCTCCATCTCAGGGAAGCTGTAAACAACAGTAGGGAAACTTTTATTTTAAGGACATAGTTTAATTGTTTTGGATTTCCTTATTTTATATATTTTTTTCTCCTTCATTCTTTTTTTTTTCTGCTAAGATTAGTAAATATTTTAACATGCAACATGATGAGAAACTCAGCTACTGATGTATGAAATAGATTGATGTGAAACTACTTGTGTGCAAATTTCAGTAGTAACTGAGGCATGGGAGATCTGCTGATGGTACTGAAACAAATATACAATACAGATATAGCTTTACCTAGGTTCCACTAGAGATTTTCACTCCCCCTCTTCCCACTGACTCCTGCCTCCTGGGAATTGGCTTCATGGCACTTTTTAGCACAGCAACTGCACTGTTCTCTGATGTTAAAGGTCATTTACCAAGCCTGGCTCATGTAGCTGCTACTGCCAACATCTGAGCCACACGCCTCACAATCCAAAGGAGAGATGTCACATTTGCCTGAGGAGGGAATAAATGGAGAAGGGAAAAAGATTCCTGCCCCAAGGATGGAGGGAGTGCTCCTGCCACCTCAGGTAGCACACAGTCTATCAGAAAAGACAGGGCAACACAGACTCTGACATTCTCATCAGGTTAGCAACCACCAGCATAAAGCTATCGAATCCAGCCTTCTCCAACTCCTACTCCCCTTTTTCCAGACACAAGGGAAGTCTCAGCCATCATAAGAACAATGCATATTATCCATAAAATGGAGAAGAAATGGAGGGGTTCACTGCAGGTCATAGAGGAGGTAAGTACCATGGCAAGGACGACACTGGGAACATTTTTACCAAACACCAGATTTATAGTGTTGCTCTTTCTGAGCCTACCAAGCCTAAAGAAAACATTTAGAGACTGAAATTGTATTTATTTCTCTTGTCTGGAAGTGCCCCTGAGAGTAGCTCATCTGATAATCTATAATTAAAGTCCTGGGCACTGATGCTTTAAGTCCACGGTGTTAGGACAGCCTGCCCTGTCTGAGTTTTTTTCCCATGCTTCAGTGTAACTTCACACATCTTGAAGCATCCAGTAAAGACTGGGAAGGGATGCACTTCGTGGATTTATTTTAGTTTGAACACGGTCTGTGTCTTACATTAAGTCAAATAATGATTAATTTTTTAAATGGTTCACATTTATCCAGAATTCATGAGACCAACCAAACAACTTTGAAGCACAGGGCTATTCACTGGATTGTTTGAGAGCTGTCTGACTTCACAGCACTGTTACTGTAATCATTTTAAGGACACTGCAATTTTATTGCATTGGACTACACTTTCGTTTTTTCATGCTTGTTTCCTCAAAGGCTTTATTAGCCATAAAACCTTTTTAAGCTTACTTCTGTTTTGACAGCTCAGCAAATTCCCACTTTCTGTAATTTTTTCCCTCTTTTTCCACCATCAGTAAGTGTGAATCTAAACCTCTTAATACAGACAGATTCAAGTCTAGACCAATTTGTAACACAAATGACACTTGCTAAAAATCAATGGCAGTGGTTGGGCTATGAAGGTCAGAGGAGATAACAGCATCCTGGAAACAGGAGAGTGAGAGAGAAGTTGAGAAGGATCAAGTCTCTGGAGTTATAATCAAAGTGTGACACTGTGCCAGCCTGTGCTTGCATTACTTCAAACATTCAGTACCTCCAGCTGTGTTAATAGTAACAAATTCATACAGATGCTTTGTCGCCTGCAGAAGCACAGAAATAATGGCAATAATCTGTGCCATGATTGTGTTGCCCTCCCTTCTGAGGCTGAAATGGACCCCACCAAAGTACTCCCTAATGCATTTTAAGCTGAATGCTGGAAACAGCTACAGGGTTCAGTTGTCATGCACCCTGAATCTCTAATACAAAAAACCCTTGAAAATGCAAACCTGTTCTTTCATATCAAATTACTTCTTCATACAAGTAATTAGTAAATGAGATTGAGGACAAATGATGATACACATTTTAATGCACTTGTGACTTCTCGTTCTTTCCCTTTCTTCATATCTTCCTTCAAGGCAGCATAAAACCCAGACCAATTTATAATGCAAAATGACAAAGAATATCCAATGATACAGTGTTGAAAAAAAGGAGTTGAAGAAACACAAATACTAGTTCATAAAGGGACTAAAGCACCTCTCCTATGAAGACAGGCTGAGGAGGTTGGGGTTGTTCAGCCTGGAGAATGGAAGGCTGTGTAGGGACCTGAAGGGGGCCTACAGGGAAATCAGAGGGGGCTCTTCATCAGGAACTGTAGTGACAGGACAAGAGGGAATGGCCCCAAACTGAAAGAAAATAGGTTTAGGTTAGATGTTAGGAGGAGATTCTTTACTGAGACCCTGGCACAGGGTGCCCAGAGAGCTCTGTTCAAATTTATTCACTGATTTTCTACTTGGGAAATTACCTCATTCTCATTTTTAATAGTTAAGCATTTATATTTTGTACACATAATGTGAGCTAAGAAATTTAAAAAAAAATAAGGCATGAAAATTAAATGATGGCATTTTTACATCTGAGCTTCCCAGGACTGGGCAGAACAGCACTGATGAAAAAGTACTGTCAGATAATAGACTGTGCTATGATTCAGTATGCTGCATTCCCAGGAATCCTGATCTTTGGCTTTCTTGTTCTCACTCATTTCAAAAGTTTAAAATTCATTACTGTTTCATAATGACCTGAATGGTAATTACCCAAAAAGCATTGTGATATCCTAGAAGAACTGGCCGTATGTTATTGTGAGACACTACAGCATCTCAGGGTTTTAACGACTCCCACTGTTTATAAACCAAAGCACAGCCCCCAGCCCCATCCTTAGTTTGGGCATATTTAATGTGCAGTTCTATAGCCTGGAGTCAGCAGAATGACCTGAACCTGCTCACTGAGGGTTTGTGGAGCACCTGAACCAGCTGTCATTCCAAAGACCTGGCATGTAAGACCCAAACTCAGGATGCTAAGGCAGCACAGAGGAACAGAAAGAGGAATGAGAGCATCTGGGGATGTCTGGTCTGGGAAGCTAGGCCATGCCTGTTCAGCAAAGTAGAGTAATACAGATCTGAGGGAGTCCTTGTGGTGCTACTGGGGACTCCAGGCACACTCCCAAAACTGCCCATTACATCAGGATCAGAGTGAATCCTTGCTATTACTGTCATCAGTGCAGCAGATTGGCTGCTCACCAACATCAATTAGAAAATTTTCCTTCTGTCTTCCCCTAGAGGTAAAAATCCAGAGCTGATCCCCCCAAAAATGAGAGGAAAACATCTGGGAAAGCAAAGATCTTGGAGAGGGGAGGGATGGACACCGGGAAGGACTTTTGTGATCTACATCAGCAGGTGAGAATCACATTCTGTCACAATATGTTTCAATAGATTTTGAAAACACAAAAGCTAAGGGCCTCTGAAACAGAACAGATTATCATATTATCTCTGCACATATAACAGATAATAAAAATATACAAAGCTGAACATGCACATTTAAAAAAAAAATAGGCAGTATTTACTGCTCTCTGTGTCAAAGCCACATTAACTACTGCTTTTCTGTTATTTTTTTGTGGATGAATAGGAAGCATGAAGTATCATTTTCCTGTGGGAATATATACTATCCAAATTGAGTCAGTGAAGCAGTAATATTCCCATGATCCCAGAGATCAGGGATATGATCTCTGTCACTTTCTAAGAATCACAAGAAAAGTGAAGAATTATAGATGGAAAGAAGATTTTATGTCTAGAAAATTCTAGGGACCATAAATAATTATGCACGAAGAGCTGGCAACAGAAAATTCTAGAATTATGTTTCTCTACGAGTTCTGGTGCTGAGACACAAAGACCAAATTGTGCCTACTGGATAATTTCACAGGAAAGGATTTTCCATGTGTATTATTCAGACAGGGGGTCAAGCTATGTTGTCAGAAACAAAACCTTTGGCTTTAAAATCAATGATGGACATTTATGGAGCTTATTTTTACAAGGGAAGAGTTATACAAGGGAAATAAAAAACAGAGATAAAAATTTTACATTTAACTTTTTTTCTAATGTCAGCAATGTCTACCTTTGGTCATATTAACTGGCTTCAGTAGCAACAGATTTTCTGGATGTGTGTTTATAATTTCTCTTAGTTTTTAAAGCTGGTTGTAGAAATTAAGTAAGGAATATGCACAGATCTCTTTCCCTTGATAAAGCGCACTTTTAAGTAGAATAATGGTTTCAAAAAGGACAGTGAGATATACAGAGAAGGTCAAATCGGTGTTTCTTTTTGAATATATGTATTAAAATACAAGAACACACTGTTATTATTTTCTTAAAAGAGCTGCAAAGCCTCATGGAATATAAATGTTTAGCTTCTAAGAAACATCAAGATCTTCTAGTAACTGAGAATGATAAAACCGATCAAGCCGGTTTCATTGCTGTAGATATTGTGATTAATTTTTCCTATTTATTTCAAATTTAATTTTTAAATGCAATTAAAGTGTTTCCACCTGGTAGGGGAAAAAATAATTAAGATCATAAAAATACAATTCTTTAATGACCTGCCTAGGAAAAACTTGAGGAATAAACCAAGACTTCTACACAACCCAGCTTCAGGGTCCTAACCCAAATGCCATCCTGAGGAAAGCAATCATTACATGCAAAGCAGTATCATTTATCACATTTGTAAAGGTGGAGAAATACTATCAAGCATTTGCAATTAACCCAACCCTTCAGCACGTTAAATGGGTCAGACTAATCATATCCCACAGCAATTTTACACTATGAACACAAGACCCATTTTTTTCCCAGCACCTGAACAGAATAGCAGCTACCTCCAGTGAAATGCAGAGCCATGCATGCAGGATCCAACCTGATTAACACGTTGTGAACAGATTTACAGCCTATACAATTTTACATAGACAGTCTGGAATTGAGAGCTAACATATGACAAAACATGAACTATCCTGGAAATGCATAATACAACAATGCCAGAAGTTGGCTCAAAAGCTAAGAGAGCTGCCATGAGCTGTCTGTGATGTAGTATTTGTATGAATAACTTCAAGTACAAGCCTTCTGATAAATCACAAAACAGGACAGGTTGCTCTGCATTCGGTGTCAAGCATGGCTTCAGACTAGTTTGACTTGATTTTGAAGCTTGAAAGACTGCAATAAGCAGTGGAAAGAGAGGAACTTTCAAACTAGGATTTTTCTTAGTGTGTTTAAGTCCAACTACTCAATCCATATTTGAGATATTGTATGCCAGCTTGGCTATTTAAACTGCTGAGCAGGCAGCAGCTCACATTTAGATTTACTGGAGGTGGTAAGAACTACATGTTCTGGAAAGTCAGGCTTTGGGTTTCCTCATGAGACACAGGAGACTAAACACTGTGTAAATGTTTTGATTGTAGGATCTAGGCCCTCATTTTACAGCAAATACTGCCAAACAAATGGGAGAATTGGCATGCTTTTAAACAAAAAAAAAGTTTCCCAAATGTGAAAAACTAGAATTTCAGAAAATAGAAAGAGTCCAAAGGCAAGACTTCTCTGATAAGAGAGCTCACACTGATGTATCCCAACTACAACAGAGGCTCTTTATAACTATGGCAAAAGTAGACTGCAAATGAAAATAACATCCCATAGATCATTTTTAAAAAATAAGATTACTTTAGAATTTTAGAGTTAAAATTAATAAAACACTTCAAAGCAATTACACTGAGAAATAAAAAATCTTACATAAATGTTCCAGTGGTAGAATAGCAATTTTTTGAAAGAGAAGAGAGTAAACAAAGTAAATCACCAATTTGATTGGTTTCCCAGAATAATAAAATACTGAAGCAGCACAGTAGAGGATTTGCTAGACAATTTTCTACACTGAAAGTGTCAATTCATTCCAAAGCTTAGCACTGATGGATAATATGGATTGGTATGGATTGCAGCACTGCAACCATCTGAAAGGTCACTTGACAAACACAGCAGGAGTAACCTACTGTTCTTGCCATTGACAATCAGACTGCCATTTTGACAAGTCTTTAAAGTATCAAAAATCTTTACTTCAGGTATTCGATGGAAATGTTTATCTTTGGTTTGTGGCATGATTAAATGCTGGCATCTTCTCAGCATTTCATGGAGTTCACTGCAGCAGTGCTAATACCTCCTTGGATCCTATTTGCAAAACCTCAGAAGCTGATAGGGAATAGGTCTCCCCATAAATGTCAGCTATGAGCTATGAGTCTGCACTGAGCAGAATCATAGGATCATAGAATCATTTAGGTTGGAAAAGACCCCTAAGATCGTTGAGTCCCACTGTTAACCCACTGCCAAGTCCATCACTAAATTGTGTCCCAAAGTGACACATGTACATGCCTTTTAAATATCTCCAGGGATTGTGACTTCCCAGGGCAGCCTGTTTCAAAGCCTGAGAACCCTCTCTGTGAAGTTTTTCCTAATATACAATTTGAACATCCCCTTGTGCAAGCTGAGGCTTTTCTCTCTACAGTCTTCCTGCCCTCAGAAGATGAACACTCCTTCCTAACTTGGTTTCTACCTGAAAACTGACTGAGGACACACTTGACTCCTTCATCCAGATCATCAGCAAAGATATTAAACAGAACTGGCTTCAGTACCAAGTACTGGGGTATACCACTTATGACTGGCCAGAGTTACATCCATGGATGTAATTCCATCCCCCAACACTCTCTACCTCTGGCCATCCAGCCAATTAAATACCATTAAAAATTGTAAAGAAGGTAGATTATATTTGTATATATGGACTCCTCTAGAACCAATAATCTTTGGACAAATTACCTTCTTCATTGAATACTTACAGACATAATTCAGGGAAAAACCATCATTGGGAGACTAGCTAGGAAGAAAACCGATTAAGATGATACTGTGAAGAATGTCCATGTTGTGAACACTGAAATTCAGAATGTCTCCCATTTCACAGAGTTCTGACAGTTCTAAACTTTACCATTTATGAGCCAAATAAGTCTGGACAGTCAAAGAAGATTGTGTCATTAAGATACTCTTTGGAATAAAGGAGTCTTCCAGACTGATATGAGTTAAAAGAGCTGGGGGATGTAGGGAAGTAGTTCTGAGCTGGGGAAAAACTGTCTTCTTCACATAGCATTCCTAGGCAGGAACAAAGAAGTGCAGTTAAAGGGTATTCCACCATTTTCTGGTCTCTTTCTAATGTGCAGCCACATGCATTTCAATGCAACACACTATAGTAAAAACAAGAATCCTCCACAATCCTATTGCCTTCAATCCTAGTAATAAGTTTTTAGACAGACAAAAGAATCAACACATGCTAAAGAAATTTCTGCCTCAGTTTCTCTGTGATGCTGGGCAGTGATTTGTAAGCTCATCCTAGAATTTCCCAATTTCTCACAGGAGTCAGGATTGCTAATCAAATATAACATAGTTCTACAAAGGGGAAAAAGATGTAGAAGTGCCTACATGGTTCTAAAATCCCAAATGCTGTAATGAACTGTGTATTATTAGGGGGCTAAAGTTACCTTTTTGAAAGTATAGTATTAAATGTCAAATTCATTAGTGGCATGACCTGAAATCATTAGGTCTTTCTATCTAAACTAGCTGCATATGTGATGTTTGGATTCCTATAAGTGTTATTTTCAGATCAAAATGAAATCACAGAGAAAATACTGCACTTTATTATTGTATGTCGTTTTTTTGAAAGAATGACTCAGGCATTGATATTTAGACTACTTTCAAGTCAAATATTTAAAGCTCACATCCTAACCATAAGCACACTTACTGACATATTGGAAGGTCACTAGAACATGAGAAGATAGAGAGAGGTGTAAGCAAAAGACCTACAAATTTAATGTCTTCCGTAAGGGAGGAAAGGCAACTGTAAGAAAACGGAACTGTTTGCTTGTATTTTCATCAAAGTACTGAACAGGTTCCAAACAGTTTCAGATTTATTAAAAATCAGGCCTGTGGCATTTTCCTCTTGTACATTCATATTTCATTAGGTGCAATGACTTTATCTTTTCCCCAGTTAAAAATGCCATTCAAATTGGCTGTTGTACTTACTCTTTCACTGTCACAATATAGCCATAGTCTTTCTCCTCAGAAGACTTCACTTCAAGTTGTAAGCCTTGTCCTGTGCTTTTCTGAGGTTTTTCATAGGAATTTCCTTCCTGCATTAAAGCATTCTTAATCCAGTAGCTGGTCTGGCTCGGGTCTTTGGAGTCAGATTCACTGTTCTTTGCAGTTGTCAGCTCCCTTGAGAAAGTCTCACTTTTTACATTTTCCACACCAGCATTTGTTTCTTCTGAGGACAGCGGATCAGTTTCTTCAGATTTCTTAGTTTCTGTCTTTGTAGGTTCTTCAGGAAAAAGGTCTTTATGCATATTTTCAGCTAATGCATTCTCATTCAAGAATCTAATTAGTTTTGCAGTGTTCTCCTGTATTAAAAGAATAATATTATTTTTAAAACTAAACACAGGAAGGTTATACTCACCAAATCTGGATATAATTTTTCAAGCTCTTATTGATATGGTAGAGTCTACTCATACAACTGTTGCATGATCATTTTCTTAACTTCTATAAACTGCTAGACTATGTTAAGAACATGCTGTTTATTCAGTAACAATAATAGAGCACTAAATTATGCCACTATATTTTCCCAGTTGTTTCCGTGTGTCTGTGTGTCTAATATTGATGAAAATTAAAGCTTGTTATCATGTAAGTTAATGAAAAGGAGAAAAAAAAAATGTCCATCAATATGCCTGTGTTGGGCCTGGAAACTTTTGTCCCTCTTGGGTCTCACAAGTTATAACAGTGGAAAAGGAACAGATATTGTATGACCAATTCTGTTTCCCTCCTTCATCTCTAGCATTGGTGACAATTGTATGTGAGTGATCCAACAAGCTAAACATAAGATCACAGAAAACCAAAATCTGTCTAATAAATCAACAATAAGCAAATGAGCCAAAGTCAAAACAGGTGCTTGAAAAAGTTCATTAGCTAGTTTCATTACATAACTTTATTGCAGCCAAGCATTTGGGAGGAAATGATGGCTAATGGGCACTTTGTGCTCTGTGTCACAATAAATTCTATTCAAACATTCCCTATGCAAACTGTCACAAGGAAATTTATACATGGGATCCTCTGTAAGTCTGTTGTGACTGCAGTACTTCATTCCTTAAAGATTTTCCTGTGGGTGTTCAAAGCTCCTGCTACACTGTCCATGTGTGCTTTCCTTGCTGAAGAGATTTTATTGTGAACACAAGAGGATTTGCCCCTTTATGAGTCTTGTAGTATTAGCTTTTGATAGAGTACATAGTAGGAAAAGTTTGACACAGTTTTTAAAATATTCCTTTGACATTTTTCTGCTCCATGAAACTGAGAAAAAGATGAATATACCTCAAAAATGGCTAAATATTGGACAGCAGACCATAGGATATGATTCAAAGCTCAGGAGGAAAATTGTAAAAGTAGTCTGGATTAAAATGATAATTTTGATGTTACTAGCTAAGGTACAAAATGTAATGCCTAGAGCTTTTGAAATTCCTCTGATGTTCCCCAGAACTATGAGCCAAAGGACAAGGGGGAAAGAATTCTCAAAAGCTCAAAATTTACTGATTTGAGGAAAAGCTTGAATTTGTTTGAACATTGTGAATCTATTATTAATTCTGTCTATTTAAAAATTAGAGAAAGGGTAAAAAACAGACTTGATTTTACTTTTTGAACATCAAAACTGATTTTGGTTAAGGTTTCAATAAATGCTCATTTAATATTTAAATGCATCAACAACAACGTGTCTATGTGTGACATTGAATCACAGCCACACAAAACATAGAACAAGATATTATATTTCAGAAGTGTGAGTTTGTCTTTCACTGCACAGAAACCTGATATTCTGAGATGGAACACTTGTTTTGTTTAAACACTGGTACTCTACCTCTTTTTGAGTTCTCACGCTGGCTTCATGCATTCCATTGTCTGTAGGAGATGAAAAGCACAAATATATAGTTATGAAGGGCAAATATCATATACAAAACACAGACTTCTCATAGGCTGCTTTTTAGCAGTGGCCTTTTTATGTAATTTAAACATTGAGACATCAAAGCTGAAAGGGCAGAGTAAGGAGCAGTGTATAATTTGTTATTGTTATTCTAACCCCACTTTGATAGCAAATTAATGCAAGATCAATAGACAGAGTACTTCAAGAGCCAATGTAATAGTGTTATTTTGCTAACTAAGTGTCAAATCATCATATCAGTTTACCAATATCTGAGAAAAAAAAACAGAATAAAATGGCTCTCGCTTGCAGCATGGGCATTTACAGTAATGGGAAAGGAAACAGATTTTCTTCGTACATATTTTAGTTCAAGAAAATGACATATTTCAATAGATATGATTCACCAAAATAATGTTACAGTTTAGCTACAGTGATAAAATTCAGTCACATCCTTAACCTCAGTCAAGCAACACTGTCTTTTTTGCTTTATGAACTGAATGTCACTCATCTTTCTCAGCATGATTCAAGATAAATCCTCAAGTTTGACGCTTTTAATCGACAACAAAATCTGGTAATCAGAATTACCAGAATATCCCTAACTAGTAAGGATTTCAGTATATCACCATGAAAACAGATAGTTAAAAACATTTTTTATGACTTACAGTATACATTCATGTTGTACTAGATAATATAATATTCCTAAAATAGAAAATGGATGAACAGTAACTTATTTTCCACTGTGGTATTCACTCATTAATGACATTTACTGTGGCTCCTGAATCTGCATCACCAGGAAAGTATGTGTGCAGACAGAAACAAATAACCTTAGATGAAAAGGGAAGGAGCAGGTTTGTACCTGTACTTGTCACAGATTTTCTTCTGCAAGTAACTGTGGCATGTTAAAAAATTATCTGTAAAAAATATTTTTTCTCTGCGTATTTTGAAATACATCTTGTAATAAAGTAATTTCCCTTATCATTTTGCTTAAACATCTCATTTTCAAGAATAGAAAATTAGACCACACAGCAATTCTTATTTCAATATAATTGGGTTTATCTTGTTTGTGAAGCTTGAACATCAAGTGTTCATAAACAGATTTTCTTTTGGTAAATTAAGAACATGCTGTAAAAAGAAAACAACAATCTAAAAATTCCACATCTTTTTGGGAAATACAGAAGCTTTCCCTCCCATCTTCTTTAAAGCTAATTTTTAGAATTCTAGCATTAAGGTGAAGCAATAGAGGAAAATTATGGTAGCTGTCTTTTGCTGTACTTAACTTTTAAAATTAATACCTGGTATATTAACACTGTTTTCCATTAATCCAGTCTGAAGCTCTGCCCTTCCTTGAGCATCTCCTTTGTTCATTTGTGCTTCTGTTTTGTCTTCTTTAGTTTTTCCAGCATTTCTTTCTGTTTCTTCCTGAATGTCAACATTTTGAATTGCAGTGGCGATAGTATCAGCGATTTCATCCAGTTCTGTTGAGCTGAGATTCTCCACATTCACTTGGTGTTTCTCTAGGTCCTTCAATACATTTTTAATAAGTGCCTCTGGATCACAAAACAACATAAGGACATGATTTAGCTGCGTGCACATGAAACACATGTGCTTATA